CAGGCCACTAGTTACTTTTCTGGGAAAAAAAGTTATTTTGCCAAATTTTAAACACACACCACAAATGGGACTGGGAAAAAAAGTGTATATATACCTATTGTGGTTTAAAATGCTATTTTTCACAAAATGTTAAATGTGAACCTACTTCTAAAACTTAAAAGAAAAGAACTATGCAATTATAAGCCATTGCGTAAATAAGTTTATTATATATTTGTGTATGTTTGTAAGCCCACTGATTAGTGAGAAGAATAAAAGTGAACTCAGGAAGAAAGTTCTGGAAACAAAAAATGAGAACTTGTACTTTGTAGCTAATCTTGTTTACGTTATTTTGGGAGGGATCTGGTTTTTATACTAAGATAACTTCTAGGCAACCAATGTTTTAAACTTGAAGGTAGCCCATGTAACTTTCTTAACTATTGACTTGTTAATAGTTTTAAATATTATATGTTCCCAAACCAATGTTTATCATAGCCTTGTATTTAGAACTTATGTGAGCTTGAAATCCTGTTCTTCTTTCACCAGGTGTCTGACACAGATATAATCCTATTACAACAGATGTCATTGCAACATTTTCTGTATCATGAGATTTTCATATTCTAGCCATGACTCTTCCTTAAAAGAATGTAGTCTGGATAAAAAGACAATTGGGATAGTGTCCTGTACATAATCTTAATGAGATTTGACTTTACGCCATCCAGTGTACAAAGTGTCTCCCTAAAAATGCAAATTGATTTTTAGCGCAGCAGATCACATTTCAAAATGCACTTGGGAAATGCTTTCTTCAAGGGCTATGAGCAGCAAAGTAAGGGGTAGCCAGCTGTGACCAGGTGCTGCGCCGTCTGCTCTGTGCTCCTCCATTCTGACTCAGAACCTCACATGTGCACCTGTCTGCTTCTACGTGGTCCTAGAGTTAGTGGTCTTCTGAGTGGTTCCTTGAGCAGAGAATAGCTGTTTGTCAAAAAGAAAAATGGGGACAATCAACTTTAAATAGAGAAGGGAAGGTAGGAACTAGTCATTGGCATGGTTGGTTTGTGGTTTTAAATCTGAGGACTTCTAACTTTGTCAGCCAAGGATGACCTATGGGGAAATAGTAAAAATCCCTGGGAAACTGGTCTCTGAAAAAGAAGTCTGTTGGGTGAAAGTTGTAGTTAAGTTGGATGCAGCAGACTCCTGGTTGTCCCCCAGTACCTCTTCTCTTCTTCCAAACCCCATACTGAGTTTGGCACATGGTCCCTTGGCACAAAGATTTCATTTCCCAGTCTCCCTTGCAATGAGACATGGCCATATGACTAAGTTCTATTCAAAGGAGTGTAAGTGGAACTACCACATAAAATGAATGAGAAATGTCCTTGAAGGATGTGGACATGCCCTCTTCAGCCCTTTCTTTCTTCTTGCTGAAATGGAAACCAAATCTAGGATAGTAGAACTGTAAGAGAGGAGTTTGGATCTCAAGTAACTTCATATAGCCTCACCCCTCTCCCCACCCCAATCCTGGGCTATTTATCTTTGGACATCTTTAAATGTGTAAGAGAAACATTTATCTTACACCAGTTATTTTGGTGCATGTCACTTTCAGCCAAATGCAATATTAACTGATAAAATGGGTAAGAAAAACATAATGCTAAAACTGCTCTGGGTCTAAATGTAGCTTTAAAATAAAAAGTAGTTTCTGGTGTAGTTTCCCTCATTTTTCCTCTGAAATGTCTATGAAAACACAGGAAAAGATGAAAGCTGCAACATTAGAAACCAGGACTGAGGCAATTTATTTGAGAGAATTTTAAAATAATGCCTTCTTTTGTCTATTCATATATTCAACAAGTATTTTTTTTAAATACCTACCATGTATGAGGCTGTTCCCCACCTGGGGAATATAGTTGTGAACAAAAGAGATAAAGTCCCTGCCTTCATGGAGCTTCTATTCCAGTGGGAGGAGACAGTCTACAAACAAGATAAACAAAGAACTATGAGTAAATGGGGGCGGAAAAGTGGAAGGAACAATGTCTGAGAGCTGGTCAAGGGCCTGATAATGTGGGATGAGTTGTTAGGAGGTCACATTTAACTGGACTTTAGGGTCCATTTTGAAAAGGAAATGTCTCTGTAAAAGTAGATAGGGAGACCTCTTGTCCCTCCACTGCTGCTACACTACCAGTACCATGCTGTTTCAAAGTCATAGCTTCTAGCCCTATCAGAGAATTGGGCAGCCAACCCTCTGTTGTCTGGGTGTCTTCCACCAAAATGCCTCTTCCTGTTTCCCTATGCAGTCAGAAGCCATCACATCCAGAGAACACATCATCTCACTTAATCCTTTGGCAGGATGCAAATTGGGGGTAGCATACACTGGCAGTGCACAGCGAATCTTGGGAGGGATCATCTTTATAAGTAAAGCACTACAGTTTGGATGGAGATGGAAGAACCCCACATGCACTGGATGCTTATAACTTTTGTGATGCTGTTTCATAGTGACAGTTTAAGCACCAGGCAGTGACAGCAGGAGAAAATCTTGTCTCTGTCCAAGAGTCATAATAAGTGCAAATATAGTAAATTTCACACAGGTAGGGTGTAATTCCAAACCACATAGTTGTTTAAATAATCGAGTTACTTGGATTTAGCTTCTATTTCCATCTTTATTTTCTTTCAGAAATGTTAAATAATAACATCAGTTTACAAAGAAGTAAAATCTGATATAGCTTTCTTCATATGCTGGGTTGGTCTAGATGCATTCTGTGGATTGTTTACCAAGGATCAACTGGTAAGTTATAAAAATGTATGAAAATGAAGAAGGATGGCTTGAAATAGACCTATGCTGGAGCATATTTGTCCAGAGGGTCTATTTTAGAAGAAAAACCTGAGAATCACATTGTTTTACGTGTTGTTAGTAATATTTCAAAGCAAGCCACTTAAAATAGGTCCTGAGTGCTAATACTGGCAATGATCTCGTTTTCCATATGCTTTCACGTGTCTTCATTTAAGTGTACATAGTTGTATCTACAGTTAACATTTGTCTAAATTTGAACTCTACAAGGTATATATAGCCTTGTGATTAAGAAAACGAATTCTGATACCAGACCTGGATTAAAAATTGTAATGTCCACCGTTTCCTTGGACAGGTGCTTTAATCTTTGTAAACCAGTTTCCTCATTGGAAAAATGGAGACGATTCTTGTATCAAGGGCAATAATAAGAATTACAGTGGTTAATGTATAAGGTACCAAGCACATTATAAGTCATATGGTAAGGCTCATTAAATAGTAGGTATTATTATTATTATAGTAACTATCATTTGTGGGAGAAACTGTTGGGGATCAAAATTGTTTATTGAATGCAAACACAGGCAACCAATAGCACAGACTTATTTCTCTCCTTTATAACCGCTTACTTGCCTAAGGACTGGGAATTCAGCTCACTGCTCACTGTCACCCAAATCGCCCATTAATTTATCAAATAAGGCAGTCTAAAACTCCATGTGTATCTTCCCGTAGGGCCCGGGTCTGTTGAAGTGAAAAGTTAAAAGTGAAGGCGAGACAGTTGCCCTTTGACCCACACTCCCCCATCGGTCACCTGCTCATTTAAATGGTGCGTCCCCTCGGGTGCCTCTTGATAAAATTTTCTCTGAGCGCTCTCTGGGGACTCGCCAGAGGCAGCTGGACGTTCCAGTTCTCACCTGCCCAGGTGTCCGTGGCGCTCGGCGATCCGAGCCACCCCGGCCTGGCACCCGGTGAGAACGCAACGCGGCGTGGGTGTGGGGGTTGTCTTGAAGTCCCACTTCCAGGGCTCTGCTGGCTGCGGGGGGCGCGGAGGCTGCCGCCGGCGCGTACCCTTTTTCCTTGCGGGACGCTGCGGGCCCGCGGGGACCGACACCTGCCGGACGCGTCTGATCCCCCCAG